GCCACACACACACACACACACACACACATAAATAAATAAAATTCTTTTAAAAAAAAAAAAAAGAAATGTAAATCATAGCCCTAAAAAAGCTGTGAGCCAATGGAACGGAAGCATTTCCAAAGCACTGCAATGGCAGTTGCTCTATTGTTGTAGTATAAGCAAAGAGAATCTAAATGAAAATCTTAATTGGATTCAGAAGTCAGCAAAAGGATAGTTATGCTATGTAGGGTAACAACATAGCTACTTGACCTTAGAAAAGACAAACGTCAGAAGACAAGATACTCAAGACAGACCTGTACCAGGAAGGTGAAAGAGGACATACAGAAATGTAGGTCAGAAAACAAGCAACCACACTGACCACACAACTTTGTTGAAGGTATTCTGTTTTTTGTTGTTGTTGTTGTTGTTTTTTGTCTGACTGTCTCTCTGTCTGTCTCTATCTGCTTCTTTCTCTGAATCTACTTTTCTCTCTTCTTTGTGTCTATGTCTCTCTGTCTTTTTCTCCTTCCTTCCTTCCTTCCTTCTATGATTATCTTTTAAGAAGTATAAAGTTAATCCTTCAATGAATATATCAGAATAAAAAAAATCAACATTCATTTCCTATGTTACATATACCGCAAGAGAGAGAAAATGGAGAAATTCCTGGTAAAGAAAAACTGATATCAAACACAGGAAATAGGTTGAGTGCTAAAGCGCTTCAACTAAAATTAATTCCTAATAACCTAGTAATTATATAATGGCTTTAAAAGGCAGCTGACCTACATCGTATGACTTTTCCTGATCCCTCAGAAATCTGCATAATTATGAGTGACAAAATAAATACACATATGTTTAGAGGAAATTTAGAGATATACATTATTTCCATTGATCAAGTTTTATATGGAGGTGAAAGCTAAATAGAATTCTTTATATCTTAAAGAGCTTTCTCAACAAAAAATAGCTGTCCTTTTTATAATTAACTGAAACTGATGGTATCTGAAAAGAGTAGTTAAAAGTTGAACTACTAAGACCTAATGCTAAGAAAAACCTATTCAACAGGGGATTTTAAACAAATCTTTTTTCAAATAGCCAATTCTACCTTGGGATATATGGAGAATTCCACTGTCAGTCTGTGTCTACATATAAGTCCATGTTATATCCAAGATAAAGCTTTAGCAAAAGCATATTTAATATTCTGTCCCCCAAACAAAGGTTTTTCCCACTTAAGGACCCATTTCAATTTTTCTTTAATAACATGCTCCCAGGTGTCCAGAAAGAGTTTAATATTAACATATTACTAAGAAGAATGGGTCAGATTCATCATATAAAAATCATTCCATGAGCTATTTATGGCTTATTAAATATCCAATTATATTTAAACATACTATGCAGTTTGATAAATTATCAATTGAAGCCATATCATTTAATGGAAAGGGACTCAAAATTCTTTAAGTGTATATAGCAATTTATAAGATAATCTTTTGTTAATGCTACATTATTTCAGTCAAAATATAAGTAGGAAACTTACCCAAGTTCTCTGATCAGGCACTTGGAACTGGGAGCAAAATTGAAACAAAAACAAAAATTACTTCTGTGTTGGTATCTTCACTGAACTCTATCCGTTGAAAGATAAACATTTCACTAATTTAGCAGATTTCATTTATCATGCAAGTGTACCTTGAGTGATAACTTTAGAAATAAAAATCAAATATTTTTATAATCCTACTAAATTTCATCTATTATCTACAATAAATTTTAGAATAAAGGTTATAAATGAAAATTCTCTTTATTGTAAGAAAGATAAATGCTATTACTAAATATTACAAGGCAAATGCTTCTTTTCCTGTTATTACTCACTACAAAATCATAATCCCAATTTTTCTTTAATAACTGAAAATTAAGTGATTTTCTGCAAAATCCAATCCCTTGTGTTTTATAATGTCAGTGATAAAGAATATATTTTCTGAGGTGTAGATAGTTAAATGACAGAAAGGTAATGCTCTTGGAAGGTCACTGGCAACAGTGTGGAACTTCAACCATCATTCATCAGAAAGCTTCATATTCATTCAAAGAACTAAGGGTCTAGTTATTTGTAACAATTTACAGCAATATTCACTGAGGAAAATGTTAGGGGCTTGAAGACTCTTCCAGTCCACACAAAGATCACACTCTTTATCATTTTTCTTTGTCAAAAGGGATGTATGTCTTGCTTTCTTTAGTTTTTGGTATCTTTCATTAAGAAGATGCATAGGTTTCAAAGAATGATAGTTTAATCACAGGAGAAGTACACTAACAGGAAACACTTGTTGAAAACACACTGGAAGATGAATGGAAAAGGACTTAAGTGATTTTCACATCAGTGTATCAATGACAACTTGGGAAAAGATTAACTGAATCCTAGTTCTCTGGAATGAAACAACCAGATAACAGGAAAACAAAGAAAAAAAAATGTGATGAAAATAACAGAAACTTAAGTAGTAGTGTTTCTTAGAGATGTACAGAAAGCCAAACCTTTAAAATAAAATGCACAAATAACCAAAAATAAAATTTTAAAGATAGGAAAATCAAACCAATGAATAATAGCCACTTTTACAATGGTATAATTGCTAGTGAGCTATAAATGTGACTTCATGGTACCCAAAAGATAAATTGGTGACATGGACGTTCACAGACATCATACAGCAACATCATCCCTCCATCTCACTTCTTCGTGATAACTGTCTCCCTCTCAAAATTACATTGCAAACAAGAAGATGTCATGAATAATTTTTAAATGCCTATCCAGGAAATTTTCTGCAAAATCCAATTCCTGTGTTTATATAATGTCAATGATAAAACTATAATTATATAAAGAATATATATTTTCTATAGTGATTATTTCTCTTTTGTAGTAAGCTAGGTATCTATAAGAAAAAATGAAAGAATAATTGATAACCCCAGTGATGCAAATATATGACTTCAAGACATGAGCAGAAAACCTTAAACTCTAAGGATCTCTCTCTCTCTCTCTCTCTCTCTCTCTCTCTCTCTCTCTCGATCTCTCTCTCTCTCTCGATCTCTCTTTCTCTCTCTCGATCTCTCTTTCTCTCTGTCTTTCTCTGTCTCTCTTTCTTTAAATGTATTTATTACAGGGTTTCACTACATAGATGGGATTCATAGTGATCCTCCTGTTTTCAGCCTCCAAGTGCTGGGATTACAGGCATGTGCCACCACACCCAGTCTCTAATGATTTATCTCTTAATTTTGATATATGTACTCATGCATCTTCTAAATATTTTAATAAAATTTTAAAATAACCATTATTATTATATATGGTAGTAAGATGACCTAAAAACCTTCCAACAAAACTAATAAATATTTATTGAAGTGTTCACTTATCAGTGACTAGGGATTCTTCCACAAAGAGGGGTGTTCCAATAGAATGTGAAATACACAAAAACTACAAAGCCAGACTTGTCCAGAGAATATTACTCCCAAGCACTGACATGTCTGTTTATAACTTAATAAAGTTTATAACTTTTAAGCATTAAGAATATGATCTTTTGGGGCTGGGGAGATGGCTCAGTAGAATAAGTGCTTTCCTGGCAAGCACAAGGGTCTGAGTTCAATCCCTGGTTCCGCAAAAAAAAAAAAAAAAAAAAAAGAATATGATCTTTTTTGTTAGTATGATAACCCTGAGAAACAAGGCACACAGCATTCCCATTTTGAAAAGGAAGATCCAGAAGTGCAAAAGGGCTATGTGACTTTTATGATTGGCTCTAATTTTTTTATTTAGTTTTGCAAAAATTTAGGATTGAATCCATAGTATTAATAATAAACTACATCCTCAGCACTTTCTCACTTCATATTTTGAGACAGGGTCTCACTATGTCACTAAATTGCCCAACGGGGCTCCCACTTGGAATCCCTCTACTTCAGCACTGCAGGCTACTGGGCTTACAAACATGTACCACCACACGCAAATGGATATGCAATATACTTTAAATAGAAAATATAACAATGAAAAGTTTTGTGCGAGGACTTACTTAGCTGTTAAATGACAGCAAGTCATAGAAACTCAGTTTGGAGCTTTTGCTCTGTGCTACCCTTACTGTTGCCCACTGAGGTCATGCCAAGAACACAATAAACAGCTTTCCAAGTACTTGGAGAGACCTGGCATAGTCCTGGCAAAGAAACTGGACTCAGGGGACAGAAAGAGGGCATTTGACTAATTTCTCTCTATATCCACAATAGGATTCTTTTGTATCCTTTAGTAAGAGCTCTTTGTCATCAGAGCCCTCCACATGGCAAGCTCAATGCTAACTGTGGTTAGTGAACTATGATCAAAATATAGGCTAAATCTTTAAATTTTCAAAAGTTTAGAACTGTTAAACATATATCGCCATTGGGGCTGGGGAGATGGCTTAGTGGAATAAGTGCTTCCCTGGCAAGCACAAGGGACTGAGATCAAGGGCCTGAGTTCAATCCCTGGTTCCCCTGAAAAACATAAATACATGAAAAATAAAAAAAGATATATCGCCATTAATCTCTTTCAAACTCCTCCCATTGTTTCGAAAACACACCATCATTCCCATCATTCTTACCACATCATGAAACACTTCTGGAAGTTCTGTTTCATGAGTGTCTTTACAACATAAAATCAAATATATGGTGAACACTGCTGAGTGCCATCCAGTGGAGGTGTAGGATGTTAAAAATATTATGGTGTGTCCTCATCTACCCCATTCACTGGATTTGGCACCATGAAACTTCTGGCTTTCCCCTAAGGCCAAAATGACTGTGGAAGTAATTGTCTAGATTGATGCATCACATCTGTGCAGCCTCAACAACACAACTAAAGATACTACTTGAGTACTATTGATTAGCTGAGTTACTCCAAGACACACTTCCAAGCTCCATCATGCCAGACAGCCAAAACCATCAATTCTGCAGTGGTTAATTACTAGATTTTCAAAATTATTAGTATATAAAGCTATTGCAATATTGCAATAAAAATAGTGTAATAAAATATAAAATATTTTATTCTTATGAATATATACATCATTTCTATTTAGAAAGGAAGATAATCAAGAATGATGTACTTTCAGCACATCTGATACAAAATGCATGTTGTAGTCAGGTTTACTTACCCAAGAATCTTTACAAGTAATACTTAGATCATGCTAGGTATAAAGTATTTGCTGACCAACAGCTCCTGTTTTGGAACTTCGTTCTTTTCCATAAAGTAATCATGTAAATGATAACATTCTGTAGCCCTCCTATTACAAAGTTAATGCTAACTAGAATTTTTTTTCTTCTGTATTTAGGACAGGGTCTACAGGTTCTCACTACAGAGATCAGACCCCTAGTGATCCTTCTGTTTTCAGCCTCCCAAGTGTAGAATGTTTCTAAAACTTTATATTAACACATACTTTCACAAGATGAATTCAAGCAAGAACTCTGGGGCAGTAACAAATTTCTCCAATTATTTAAACTCTTATATGCTTTCTCAGAGCTTTGGAGGAAACACTTGAGAAGTTGAATAAGCAGTAACAAGAAAAAACAAAATAGAATTACATCCCTAATTAATTGAATTATCTAACTTTCTTTTTCTTTTTAAAAATATTTGTTTGTTTGTTTGTTTATATGGTGCAGGGTCTTGCTACACACGTTGGGCTTATAGTGATCTTCCTGTCTCAACCTCCCCAGCATTGGGATTACAGGCGTGCTCCACCATGCCTTGTTTTGGTGGCTGGCACAGCATGTAGTACAGGGGATTGAACCTGGGTCCTTACACTTGCAAGGTAGGCACTTAGACTGCCAAGCTATTTCCCCAGCCCTTACCTAACTTTTTGTGAGAGTCTGCATAAATTTTCATCAGCTTTATCCTTTCCAGTTTGAATACCATCAATAGAATAAATTAATCTACTCTTTTCAGACATTTTTATAATTTTTTCTGTCTATAAAGATCAGAGATAGCTTATATTCTTTCAGAAAAAAATAAAATTAAACAAAAATTTAAACACCAAAATGCTCATGCATTTGTTCTTTCAATATTCCAGATGTAGATAAATATGTAAACCAGGTTAAAGGGTAAAGACAGAGATCAACCAATTAGATAATACTGTTTTCCACCATGAAATGAGAAACTATATATATTTTGATAAATGAGCATGACTCTACTCAACAAATAGACTTGTGTTTTGTGGTGAATTCTTGTGCAATTACAGAACTGTGTTGGAATGCCCAGTGATCTCTCGATAAATTCCTTCACCCTCTATGGTAACAATTTCTCAGGTAGACTCATTTCCTGTTTTTTATCTAAGTACTAAAAGAACAAGAATGACCTTCATGAGTTTGGGACGAGTCACAGTATGATCCCTATCTTAGTATCAGCAACCTTTAAACACAAAAGACAACTTCAATATTTACTTCCTTGACTGAGCTCTGCTAACTGCAAAGTACAATTTGGCTCAGTAAGTAGTCAGAAGCAGACAATAATTTAACACCATAACCACATTAGTTTTACACATATATTAACTGCTTTTTCTTCAAAGAGCATGGGTTTTAATTCTGCTAGAATTTCCTGTGTTCCTCCACAGCAGCGTCAAAGGAAATCCTCGTGTTCTCAAGATTTCTTTCATTTCTTTGCACCTGCTCTTCAGGATCAACAAGTTGGTTTACAAGTTTGAAATCTCAAACTCAAAATACTTACTTGTGGGTGAAATAGGAATCCTGGAGAAGGTCTCAAGTATTTCTCTTTTAAAGCTTCAAGTGGGTCAGTTAGTTTTCTTTTCTCTACTCTGAAAGGTTAAAATTAGATTTTGGAGGTGAATCAGTTTCACATATCAATCAGTGTATAATCATTGACATTTAAAACAACAAAGCAAATAATAGGCTTCTGGGTTGCACATTAATAAAAATGCAAAGGCGTCTTGAAGAATACGTAAGACACTCCTAGGAGCTCAAAGAAAGGTTTTATTTATAACGGAAAAGTCCTTAATGGCTAGTATTAATGACGAGGAAATGTGAAAAATGGGGAGTCACTAAATTAGAAGAATTTGTCATAGATTTAGTACCTTTCCATTTCACATGGAGACAAAATGCTTAGTGATTCTGACAGCATGAGAACAAGATTAATTTTGAAAAATCAAAGCCATTTCCTACCAAAGAGCTACTTCCCCCAAATATTCAATTTCTTTCAAATCTGTAAATAATAACAACAGCTTTCAAACATACTATAAAATTATATACCCTGCTAATCACTTTTACACACACACACACACACACACACACACATACACACTTGCTCTAGGTGCTACTGCTGACAACCACTGCAGGTAGAAGACTGGTGGAGAAAAAATAACAGAACTAGTTGAATATTACATATAAATTTTTTGCTTCAAAAGTGCCTGTCCTTTTTTCAATTAAGCATATAGGGAATTGCTATGGGCTAAATTAAATTATTTTACTAACTATTGCTAATTTCCTTTTTAAACCTCTCAAGCTTTTAAAATAGAATTAAAACAAAATACTACCATTTGTAGGAATTTTAGCTGCACTATATTTTGCATATATTATTTCACTTATTAAAGCATGTGACAGTATAGCTACATTATATTGGTGGGGAAAAAAGTCTAAAACATGGATGGTGAGATTTTAACACATACCTGACACTAAAATTAGGGTTTAGGTCATGAAATCAGTAAAATGATGGGTATAGGGCTTTAACTGAAACTGGGACACAAGAGGAATGATGAAAGCTAGAACAAAAGGAAGATCAGAAAATGATAGAAATGAGTCTACTGGACACATGGAAGAAATGAAAGCTCACTACTGTTGGGAAGGTGTAAGAATGAGTGTCTGACAAACAAACTTCACCAAGAGCAGAAGTGTGCCATTGACTAGAAATGTAATCTTACTGGAAATGCATAGGATACATTAATGCACAAAATAAGAAGGTGTGCTTTTCTTTCTTTAATGATGGGCCTGCTGTCTGAACTAAGGTATAGTAAGGGGGGAAATCCTTATATATGGTAAGGATGGCATTGGATTGTCTTTTAAAATTCCTCCTGTGCTGAAATGAGGGGAGCCTTTCACACACTGGAGATGTTTTTAGTTAACACACTATATAGTATAGGTAGAAAAAGATGACTTAAATTAAAAAATATTAAAGTTTCAGTGCTCACAAAATCATAAGAAGTCCATTAATTTTTTTTTTAAATGGAAGGTTTTTTTTTGGGGGGGGGGTTTGCAGTACTGGGGATTGAACTCAGGACCTTGTGCTTATTCTATGGAGCTATCTTCCCAGCCCCCCATTAATATTAATGAATTTAAAAAATCCAAAATATTTCAATAAAAATCAAAATATGAAAATATTTTCATCATAAGTACATTCAGTAAAAGATTATCCACATTCCATGAGGTGTTGCCAACACTCAAATTTCAATGAGAAAGTAAACTGAAAAATATTGAAATATTTACTTTATAATAAACAACCAATATTATTCAAAGAATTTAAAGAAAACCATTATTTAAAAATCACATTAAAGAATCAAGTGAAATTAACAAAACATTATCTAAGAAGCCTTTTTTACTTTTTTATTTTCTTTTAGGTATTTAGCAGAAGGTCTACAGGATCTCTCTATGTAGATTGGACTCGTAGTGATCCTCCTGTTTTCAGCCTCCCAAGTGCTGGGATTACGGGCGTGCACACCATGCCCATTCTCAGTCCTGCCTCAGCATGCCCCCAGGGACAGGGCCAGCACAGCACGCAGAGGATCAAAACCCCGGGTCCCTGTGTCTACCTAAGCAGGCACTTTAATCCGCTGAGGTATCTGGCTAGCCCTAGAAACCTTTTTTAAAATAAACATGTTTTACTCAAAAAACTTTGGATACATCTAAAAGAAAAAAAATGGATAATGAAGGTAGTAAGTGGAGACAGTTTTTGAGCAAACCATTCCCATTGATAAAAACCTTTTGTGATTAATATTTTATTTACTTGCAGCTTCTAAGAGATTTATTTAGAATAGACCATGACCAGTATTTGTAAAGGATGTGTCAGTAAGTTAAAAAAGAATAGACTCTTGCTGGTATCTGTCACATTTTAGTCTAAATAACCTGAGGTTCCTTCAGGAACTTTATTCTTCTGTCACTTGACAATTTGTTCTGTGTATGGCTTTTCCATAGTTTCCACTTCAAAATCAAAGCTCATGTTTAAAAATAAATTGTTAAGGAACAAAGGTCTGTGGGCTCATTCCAAATACCCCAATTTCAGAGACAGCCAAAAGTAAGTCCAAACCTAACAAGCCAACCATCTGAACCAAAAATTCATTCATTAGATCGAACAACTTCAGTTTTATAATAATGAGTCATAAAAAAGGTATAAAGGTGGAGCCAAAGGCTTTCACACATCGGCTCATATTCCTCACCTCCCACACTCCCTTACCTGTAAATAGGGTCCATAAAGAAGGGAGTGGGCCTTGCATGCTGCAAGGAGCCATCTGACGCTGGCCTGGCTTCAGCATTGCTTCCTTTCTTTTCCCCAAACACATGGTTCTTTCGAGGTTCAGTCAGCTTGGCCCCACTGGCTCTACTCCTACTGCCCATACTTAGATCCAGGGGCTGGTCTTGGCTTGTGGCAGGTGTGGCTGGAGGCTTGGAGGGGGCAGGAGTCAAGGGTTTCTCATCCTTTCGCCTAGTGGTGAGATCAAAGGGAGACTCTGAGCTTCCCTTCTGTAGTTTCTTTGCTTCGCTTGGTGATTGGGGCTCCATTTTCAAAGGTAACGATCTCAAGTCTCTATCAGGAAATGGGTACATTGATTGAGAGAATGCTGGAAAAAATGGGAGGGGAAACATGGAAGGGTAAGGTAAAGCTCCAACTTTTTTGTCTTGCAGCCCCACCAGTCCTGTTGAACCAAAGTATTTTTCAGCAATAGAAGCAATAGCCTTTATAGAATCATTCACAGCTCCTGACACGGCAGTTTGCTCCTCTAAAGATGGTGAGAAAATGGAATGATTGCTGTATTCTTTCTTATTATTTATTGAAGCCAGATTCTGAAGAGGGCTTACTTTGTCTTTGAACATTTTACCATTTTCTTTAAATTTCTCTTTATCACTTTCAATGTCACTTTCCAGATCAGAGCCCGAGGTTGTCTCCAGGTCACTGCCACTTGGCGTACTGACATCATCAAGGTCACTACTCTCTGACTGGTCACTGATTTTCTCAAGGGGCCTCTCTTCAGAGGACCTCTCGGGCTGGAGCTCCACTGGCTTATTGTCCCCTACAGGTGGGTGTTTAGATAGTGCCTTCAAAATATCCTGTGTAGCTGGTAGTATCTGAGGATGTGTCATGAGGGGACTTTGACTTTTGTTTGTCTGTTCAGTACTTGGTAGTCCTTTAACAGGAGAACTAGCAGGTATCAAAGGAGGCCTGTGGTACAAGCCGGAAGGAAACAGACCAGGGAAGCTAAAAGAAAATCCAGGAGCTGTTGGAAAGGTAAGACCAGCAGGATGCCTATTGGCACCAAAATAGTCAGCAAGGCCCGGGTTGGCATGACTCATATTAACCATGGACGTTTTATCCATAGCTGGGGTTCCAGGAAGTGAAATGCCTTGGCCAAAAAATCCACCTGCCGCAAAATGGTTCTTGCCCTCACAAAACCTCCTGTGTTTATTTAAGGAAGACGTAGTGCTGAACATTTGTCCACAGTCTTTGCACTTGATTTGGGTTCTGCAATCAGCATGCATGCGCTTATGACGACAAAGGTTTGAAAACTGAGTATAGGATTTATGGCAGACCTCACCTGTGTGCAAACAACAAAAAAGAATCTCAGGCTTTATGGCAATTGCTTCTGAATTTAGCAAGTATCACAATTGGTTTACCCAAAATAATTTCAATTAGGAAGCCAGGAAGAGAAGTTGGAGGCACCAATCTGGGTGCTCCAAACAGAAAACCCCATACCACTAGTTTCCAAAGCAAGGCATCCAACCTGACAAATGTCTCGAGGCAGCACAAATATTTCATATATTATATATACTTAAATATTTTGTCATTCCCATGGCATAATGATTTGCACAATATTTGTATATTTAAAGTTATGGAAAATTCAAATTTCAGCATGCATTGTTTTCCCCCACCCAGTACTGTCCCAGAAGAACCTTAAAAACAAAAATCTCAAGAGTATTAAGTATGAAACATAACAGGAACTCCTTGAAAATTTTAGGTCACTTCATGAATTCTATTAAAGAGGCAACAAAACAAAATTTTAGAAAACTTCTCTCTTCATCAGAAAGTTCACATTACCTCTCCCATTGGGGAAAAGAGCTTGTGCTTGCTCTACCATTATTTAATTGGTATTATATCATGCACTCTCATCATTCACACATCAAAGCCACACAACAATGCACATTGTGTATTCAGAGACTTTTTTAACAATCATTTTCATGACTTGAGAAAGACTGACATAATTTACAATGGCTCTATTTTAAGCCTGCAGAGGAAACTACATTGAATGTAGCCCATCCTGCATTGCTGGTTCCCATGAACTATGATCACGTCCTCTGACTTCCCCTCACACCACTGGCTGTGCTAATCTTCCTGCATTTATGAAACCCTTGTCCTTGGGAACCATGTCCTCTTGTTGTCATATCTTCCTTGGTTATCTGAGGGCTTGACTCCTGTGTGTTAGAGCCAACTATAGTAAGCAGGGGAGAGTGCGTGAGTGTTCTGATACAGAAAGGACATTGTGTGGGTGTGGCTTCAAAATATCTCTCTGTATCAAGAATTTGCCAGTGAATTAGAATATCAATTTCCCCACATAAAAGCCAATGTTTCTGAGTATATTTTAAAATAAAACTTTGTTAACTCTTGAGAACTTTCTTGCTAGGTGAGTTCTACTCATTTCACAGTCCAGCAGGGTTATCAAAGCAGTTTCTTAAATATCCTATTATTTATGGTGGATGAGTGATGTTATGTGTGAGCTTACTTACATGTTGCTGTGCATGCTTAGCATGCTGAAATATGGCATACTTTACATGCAATCAGTGAAACAAATTTATTTTAAGAAATTAACCTGAAGACAAAAATGTAACATTTATTGCTTTCCTGTAATGGCTGCCTTGAAAAGAATGCTTCAGCCCCTAAACCAAATCAATAAAAGTTCAAAATAAGTCACAGTAAGCAGATTTTATTTGTCTCACTCAAGCAAAATTCATACAGAACTTGAATTAACCTACACACATCCAAACAGGAAGCACCAAGTGATTGTGTATCTATTTATTTTACTGCTAAAGGTCAAGCTATACATGAATGTGCCAGGTTATATGAAAGGAGCCTTCAGTGACAGGATGATTCAGAACACTGGAAAGGCTGTAAAATACATTTTAAAGAGAAGAGAAAATGTGTATGACTTCTTTTCAAATCATTCCATCAGACTACATTGCCTAATCTCTCTTAAAAATATATATTGAGCAGAGGAAATAGGTTGGCAGTCTAAGCACCTGCTTGGCAAGCACAAGGACCCAGTTCAATCCTCAGAACCACATGTCATGCCAGCCCACACCCCATGCTGGCAACCGAAACCGGGCATGGTGGCATACACCTATAGTCCCAGGGCTGGGGAGGCTGAGACAGGAGAATCACTATGAGTCCAAGCTGCGTAGGGAAACCCTATATCAAATAAGTAAAAGATTTCTAAAAATTTAATATGCATACATATGCTATATAATCATATACTATAGATATATGTATTGTTTAGACTACTTGATATATTAAAGTCATATGATAAAGAATGTAAAAACCCATACTATATTTATATAATTAATACTGATTATATGTATAATATATACTATATAACTACATATAGTATAATTATATATAACATTATTTATTATCATATACTAATTATGTATACTTAATACTAATTCAGTTAAAAGAATAACAAGAAAGAGTCAGCAAAATGTTTAATTATAAAAATTCATTAAGAAAGCAACATGTCTCCTCTGGGGATTAAATGATGTTGAGAAAATGTCTTGATCGGTGTTCGATCAGGTATGTTTTTGAAAGGCTGGGGAATGTTCACCAGGAAAATGTTGCTCTCTGCTATCTTACGGCTGGGTAGCTTTAAGGAAGCCAAGGACCTCTGCATTCGCGTTAACACCAGGTACACCCAACTTGCCCTACTGCACCTTTTGTTACATTACGAGCAGCCCCTGGGTCTACTCTCAACAACACAGAAACTGGGGTGCTTCCTTCAGCACAAGCTTTGTTTTCAGCACTTGAAGGCTTGGCCTGGGATACCACAAGCCACCAACTCTCCAAGTACCCTGATTCAATTGATGTTGAAGTCTTTACTCTACTGTAATTTTCCCAATATTAAGGAATTAGCCAGCAGTTAGCATTGCATTTTTCTACTTATTAAACAAATTAAGAGGTATTTTGAATGTATTCAGACTGTTAGAGCATGTGGTTTCTATTTGGGAAGGGTAGAGGTTCTTGTAAAGGCAGTGAGTAATTACCGTAGCACTGGTGACTGGACTCAAGCTTGGCGGCACAATGTAATAAGAGACAGTTGCCATAAACACACGAGTGGGGGTGAACCGTGGTGTGTGGCCTTCGGGTGAGAAACAGACATCAGCCCTAGGTGAACCTCCTCCGCTCCAGTCTCCACACCAACCCCTGATCCTTAAACTCTTTTGTTCTGAAATTACACAGCTATTATTTATAATTACTCCATGGTTCTCTGTCAGATTTTATATTTGAAGAATGCCATCTGTTATTTAAATTTATCAATAATTACTTCAGATGCATTCATAGGAAATATTTTATGCAAGCTGATTGGACAAGGACAACCTGTGGCACTTGAAAGTGAAACATTTTGCTTTAACACAACTAAAATTATACATCTCACAGTCTCAGGTGATAGGAATCTACATCTCCTAACTTTTATTTTAAATATAAGGCATTAGATAGATGATCAGAGTTCCCTGTGACTTCTACTCTTTTTTCCTCACTAAAGTATATTCAAATTTACCAACATTTATTGCTGAGAAATTAACATTGAATGTCTGCAGTATTTCCAAGTATATTTGCAGAGCATTATGGCCTAGGGCCATAAATGTTTTTTGGGGAGAAGTATAAAATTCTCTTTGCATACTTCATGTATCATGACTTTCAAAAGAGCTTCCCCGGAGCCTATAGCACTTTTTTGTTGGTCTGCTAGTACTCTTCACTCCACCCTGGGAACAGAACATCTGAGCAAAGCAAGGTGCTGCTATAAGCAAAAAAAAAAATGGAAGAAAAAGCTCTGGTTCAAGAGAAAGCTGTGACCAGGCAAAGAATGAGAGAGTTATTCTTTGACATATCCATATTGACCCTGAATATTAGTTTTTTTTTTCCACCAGGTCCTGTACTAGTGTCTCAAATGGCTATTACAATCCATAAGATTAGTTAGGAAAATAGAATTTAAAGGATTTCCTAAATTAGAGATTTTGGCAGGTACTAAGTATACTTTCCACCAATTCTCTGTGTATTGGGATTCAAAATCCACTTTTGTTTTGGAGTACAACTCAGTAAATCACTGTATTTCTAAACCCAGCTAAGCAGGGAACAAAAGAAGCCTAGAGATGTTGCCCAAAAGGACCAAGAATAGCTGATCCTAAAGAAATACTGAGGCACAACACGGGGAACAGGATCGGGTGGATAGAAGCAAATGAGGGCTTCTATCAAGAGTTTTACTTGACTTGAAATGTGTTATTGAAGTGCTCTGTCCAGGAATGTTCTAAGTAGGTGGTCAGATTGCCTGTCTCCTTGAAGCACACTGCCTGTAAATTCTCTTTAGTACCACGGGTAAGAGAAGCAGCAGGTCTGGCATCAAAGTAAAAATGTTCTGCTGTTCAAATACTAGAGAATTACCAATCCCTATCCTGTGAGAAGTAATGAGAGGTAGATAAAGGAGCATTTTATCCCCCCCTCTTACACACACACACACACACACACACACACAGTCATAAGCCTACTTGCCAGGTGGGTTTCTTCCACTTCTTTCTGATCCAGAGCATGTTTTTAATCACTTCATCTTGTTTAGGGATATCTGCTAGTTGCTGTTTTACAAAGCCACGAACCTTTACAGTGTGAGACAAATCTGGTTGTCTCAATTAAATCCTAAAACCTGGGGAGGCTCCCCTTTCATTATTTAACAACTTCTCTTTTCTCTACCTGTTATTGATTTCATCTAAAAGAAAACACCCCAGGGATATAAGCAAAACATCATGGATCTGGTTATAAAAGATTTTCTTGTAACAGAAAATAGCTCTACTGGATTGCACCATAAATAGCTATTACCGTGACCCCCTAAAGGCCATCTGTGGGCATTCTCCTGATCATAGTGCCTTTTGGAGGAGAGATAGATGCAGGAAGGAGGGCTGGAGTGTTCAAAACTTACAGATAAAGGGCTTCACACTGCTGTGGATGTGCTTGTGTTGTTTGAGGCCTGACGACGTGGCAAACGTTTTGCCACACTCCGGGCACGCATGGGCCCGGGCACCAACATGCTGAGAGCGAATGTGCCGCTGAAGGTTGCTAGGGTCCGTGAAAACCTGCTAGGAAATGAGTACTGATTAATCAAGAAACTTAATCCAAGGGCACGATAAAGACCAGGGATAACTCAGGAAGGAATTATTTTGCTTGTTTCTTTTGTTTATATTTCTTTTCTCCAAAGACTGAAAGAAAGCCACATCTCCAGTGTGTGATCTCCTCTAGGGTAGGACTATAAATACTTCAGCTCTGTATCCTTAGCGCAGAATATCCACAGGTATCAGTTTCAGAAAAAAACAATGAATAGCACTCTTAGGCAAAATCAAGCCTTTTCTATGTAACCTCATTTACAGTGATTATAGTGAAATAATAAGATACTGATCATGCCATTATTAACCTAATGTGCTATTTTTAACCCTTTAAATAAAGACATATTATACGGGTACAGAATTTGAAGGGATTTAAGATACACGTCTATGGAAATTGTTTCTCTCTGTGGCTGAATTCTAACACAGTGTTTCAGCAAGTTACCAGCAAGCTAAAACTATTATTTTGGACATACTATAAATTTTGTTGAGTTAAAAAGCCAATGACATCATTCAGAAGCAAAATAGCCTTTAAGATAAGTTCAAATGTCACAGTTTCCACCGGCATGAGTAAAGTTATTCAACGCTATAGGAAGCTTTTTGAACAAGGCAGTGACTTTAGTAATACCAGAACATCTCTGAGTTAATAAGCATGAAAAAATCCAAAGTTTGCATTGCTACCACAGTTCACAGTTACGATCTACCTTGAATACTTTCCTTTTATACATATGCTGCTCGGCACTGGCCACTAAGATAGAAGTTTTGCAGTCCTTAATGAGAACCAAGTTAGGATGTATAGTGAAGAGCTGGGTGCAAAAGCCTGCAAAGTAGGACTCTCCCATTCTTTTGGAATAGGCATTCAGAAAGTTTATATGACTTCCTCACAGATTGCTACTGAGAGAAATCAATAATGTGACTAGGATAAAAATTTTATTCCCCATTAGGCTATAAAACAATCCTATGCTGGCAAATCAGTCACAGAACCAGGAATTTACCAAGGATGCCTGACACCTAGTTTTGGAACTCGCCATCAAGCCCCAATTGCTCCCTTACAAAAATAAAAGGATACTCACTAAGTGTTTTTATACCCTCTACTAATGCCTTTTAGCATACAACACTCAGTCTACTTCTCTCAAGATATTTATAGTTTCCCCTCTCCAGGCTTGTTTTCATGTATCGCAGCAAGTGATGGATTAAGAGAGAGCTGAATGGCAGAGAGGCCAAGGAGCCTGCAAATTCACTGTACCTTGGCACAGTTCTCACATTCATAGTGCTTTCCACTGTCATGTGACATCTGGTGGCGAATTAAATTGGACTTCCAGTTAAATGCCTTGGGACACTGATCGCACTTGTATTCCCTCTCCTCAGTATGTGACGACATGTGCTTCTCCAAGCTGTTAAGAGAACAACTGAGTCAATAAAACATGTGACAAAGAACGCACTGATAAACTGAATGTTATTTTATTACTAATCCAGCGGGCAATAAAAGAATTAAGGAAAAAAGAAGTGAGAAGAAAGAAGAGAAGAAACCGGATGGTGATAGACAAAAGTACATCTTATGTTTCCCAGAGTTTGTTTTCTGCCAACTCATAGATGTAGCCCTGTTGTGTGAAAATAAATCCCACAGAGCTAGCAGGGATTACCCAACAGTTTAGGAGCATGGTAAACAATGAGTTATTGGTCTGGTTCTAGATTCACTACACAATTCTAACAGTAGCACATATGGTTAACAGCTGCAACAAAAACTCCAAGAGAAAACGTTTAAGAACATATAGGGGAGCATGCTGTCTAATATGTGTACCCCCTAGATGCAAAAGATATTTTTATTTCTACCCATGTCACCATGGAAAGAGAGCTACAAGGTAATATTTAAGAGGCAACTTCCAGGTATGGCCCTGGTAATATATAGATGAATGGGGAAATACACAGAGGGGTAGATATGTGTGTGGAGACAAATGCAGATAATAGATGATAGATAGACAGACAGACAGACAAATACATAGAGATAAAAAGTTAGATATACCATTAGATGAGAAAATAAAGAACTATGTATGTTTTAAGTAGATGCACTACTGTGGCCTCCTAAGGGGGAAAAAACATGGTTAGAACTTTGAAAAAAGGAAGTTCATGTGAAAAGAATTAAGGTGTCAATTTGACAATCCAATAATCAAAGGAGGGTTAAGTTGAACATCAGTAATAGTAAATTTTTTAACAATAATAATATTATTCAGGCATGTTGGCACACACCTGCAATCCCAGCACTCAGGAGGCTGAGGTAAAGGGGTCCTCCTCTCGTTCAAGGCCAGGCTGGAGTACATAATGAACTCAAGGCCAGCCTGAACTGCACAGTGAGACCCTGCCTCAAAAAAAAAAAAAAAAACTAAGTCAATCTAGGTAACCAATTACCTTCTTCCAGATGGAAATGAACAACACCATCAATGAAGTACTTTCGCTAAAACAATTTAAATTCCACCTAAGGCTTGAGAGGTAACTATGAATGCACAGGAAATAGGGGGAATGCAGGGAAAACCTTAAACACCACCAAGAATATATATGCAACCAAATCTAGAGTGGACCAAGTTGTACAGAAAAATAATCTCAATTTCATCTATAAGATTTGATAAATACATTATAAGGAGGGATAGAGAAAGAGGGAAGGAGACTGATTGAGGGAACATTTAAATCAAAATGTACCTGAGAAGTTTATGTATTTATTCTTATGTGAGGACATTTTATCTTGATTCTAAAAATTATGAGATAACTCTGGGAATCTGAACTCTTGCTGAATATATGGCATCAAGGAATTATTATTATTACTATTATTATTATTTGTTGCTGTTGCTGTTGTTGTATTTTTAGGGAAGGGTCTACAAGATGTTCAGGGTCTAACTACTAGATCAGAGTTGTAGTGATCTGCCTGTTTACAGCCTCCCAAGAGCTGGCATTACAGGCAAGCCCCACCACGCCCAGTCTCAATTCTCATATCAGTGCACCCCAGGAGTGGGGCCAGCATGGCAGGCCTGGGGATCGAACCCCAGCTCCTGTTCCTGGTTGAAGGTGCTTTAATCTGCTGAGCTATTTGGCTAGCTCAAGGCATTATTTTTTAAAGTGTGACATTGAACTAATGTTGTAAGAGCCCTTATCCTCTACCAACACATCCTAAACTACTTGGGAATAAAATTATATAATGACTTGTTTGAAATATTCTAAAAGAAGTACAGCTGCAACAAGATTGCCCTTATATGATAATTATTGAAGCTGAACATGTGAGTTTTCTTAATACCAACCTCTAATTTTTTATACATCAGAAAGTTTCAATAATAAAGAGGTTAGCTTAAAATACTCAACTACCAAGCATGCAAATGTTCATTCTTTTCCATGTTTCATTTTTCTTTGGGCTGAATGCTCTATCTTTGTCTATCAGTTAAAATCTCTGTGTGCCAGGAAGATCTCATGTGGGAACAGGCGTTTGTGTAAGAAAATGAAGTGCCCGCTCTTGTATCTCGGTAAATCAGAAATACCTTTCCCACCCTTGTTCTCTTCCTCAGCTTCCGCCCTACACTCTATTCACACTGGCACTTGAACTTATTTTTGTTCCCTCTGAGTCAATCAAGGTGGAAGTGCTATTCTGTTTGACCACAAGTGGAGATATCTCTGTGGACACAAGGTACCAGGAGAGAACAGGTGTGGGGTGTCGTAAGAAAAGCCCTATCTTTATCTATAATATTCAATCCTCTATTTGTTACAGAAATTGAAAGGCTAACAAAAGAGTTAAGAGAAAGATATCAACAACTGCAGTCAACACTGAATACAGTCAGGGACGTTCTCCAGAGTCATGGTACAGACTGTAGCTTTCATTGTCTATGTCTAGCAATCTGTGCTGGTGAACCATTTTATGTTATATACTCCAAAATGTTGTATGTTGAATCTTCAACCCTGAAATATGCTGCCAAATGTATAGCTTGGTCTGTATGTTGAGTCTTATTTCTTCCTTTAAGTATATGGTTTGACTTTATGATGAAATCCAGCCAGTTGTTAAAGAGACTTCGCCACTTAATCACAGTTTACAGACCTTTATTCAGTTTTCTGGGTTCTTTTGATCTATAGATCAGCCTTTATATCCTGGCCTTGTTTTATTTTTTTTCTCTTCTTACTTTTTGTGCATTCATTTCTTGATTATAGGTAAGAGATACTGAACCAAAGAATGCATCGTGTCAAGAAAGGAATTTTCGTTTATTTAAAACATAAAACAACAGGGCTGGAGAGATAGCTCAGAAGCATAAGTGCCTGCCTGGCAAGTACAAGGTCCTAAGTTTGATTCCTGGTACCACAAAAAAAAGACAAAATAAATAAAGCAACAACATAGCATTCAGTAAAGTGGAAAATGTTCTGAAAATGTAGCTTCTGTGTGTGGCTGTTGTACGAAACCGAGACACAGAAATAGATAGCACTTGTGGACTGACATTCAAAGGCTGCATCAGGACGTGCTTTACCCAATTGGCCGGGATATCAAAAGGTATGTTTCGACAGTTCACTTATTATTTGCCACTGAATGCTTTACTGAATGGACTAGGTTGACCGTTGGTTTCACATGAAGTGCAGTTGACTCAGGCTTAATCTTGCAGTTAGTAGATTAAGAAACTTTCTCCACCTAACACTTCTGTATGTGCTCTCAATAGGAAGAATTACATTTTATTAGTTAATTTGTTAATTTCTGGCTTGTAGCAATGTCTATAATAAAACTGAAGATAGCACACTTAATTTCTGGTACAAGTAATAACATTTGTAGTACAAATACTTTTTCTTCTCATTAGTATGAGCTAATTGTACTTGTTTCATAATTTGGGCATTATTATATTCGAGAAACATGCTGGAACTTTTTTTGATAAGCAACCTTCATTTTATCAAACATATATAATAGATTTATTCTCTATGCAATCTCAGTATGAAGGGTACCAGAAAGCTCTCTCATTTCCCTAAATGTTTTATCTCTAAAAGCTAAATTAGGCCTGACTTTTCAAGACTGGAGATGCATTCATTTGACTCAGTCTCCTAAAAACAGTGTGTGTGTGTATGGGGTAGACTTATACTTGCTAGCACATAAGTCATTTATGCCGTTAAGTTAATGAATACTTTGTGAAGTCCTATTCTAAAAGAAATCTAATCAGAAGATGATGTAGATCAGTAAATGGAGTTGCAAAGGAGAAAAGAGCCTCTAGGAAAAGGAAACTAAGTAGTAAACTGAAGCAGGTCTTTTGTCAAAGACCAACTCTGAGCAGTTCACATACTTAAATAAGGCCAGTTGTTGCACTACCATTGTCTTTGAAATACAATGATGTTTTTGTTCTCCTGAAATAACAATTACACATTCCAAGAATCATTTCAAGACTTAAAAGCAAAGCAATGGATATAATTATTAAAATTATTTTGGGGCCAAGGCAAAAACCATTAGGTAGAAATAAACAAACAAAAAGCCTATTGGCTAGTTATTACTTATCTGATCTTAAAAGAGCATTTTTTAGAGCAACTGTCCATACAGTATTTAAACAGTAGGATCTACAGTTAATTTCTACAACAGAAATTATACAATGTTCTTAAAATAAATACAAATGGCTATAAAAAGCTAACATTATCACTGAAATATATGATTTTCATTTTGTCAAAAACAAATATTCAATGATTACTTCACTTAGAATACCCTATTCTTTTCCTTTTCAGAAATACAAGACTGGGAAATTGAATATATATATATATATATATATATATATATATATATATATGCAGTTGAGATAAATATTGCCAATTCAATCCATGAGTTACACTGTTCTATGACAAAAATTATCATAAATTGAGAATTAAATCCAGTCTTTATTTTTATCATCTAAATAGTTCTAAATGTAGCCTGTTTCTTAGTATACAACTATTTTAGTTTGCATCTTTTTTTTGTAGCACCTATTCTTCTTTTCCTGAATATTTATCATCCCCTGGAAAGATGAATATTCAATTTCCAATACTGCCTAAATAATAATATCTTGGGTAGGGATATAGCTCAGTGGTGCAGGACTTGCCTACCATATGCAAAACCCTGGGTTTGATCCTTAGCATTGAAAAAAAAAAATGATGACAATTTTACACATTATTTTTCCACCTGAAAACAAAATAACTCATTTCATCTTCATTGTAAATCTTAGTGATTTCTGAAGGTGCCATTAGCACATTGAAGTTCTGTATTTTCCAAATTCTAAAAATTCAGCATACCAATTTATTGCAGAGTAAATACAAATTTTGTGGTACAACATGCTATCTCTAACCTTTGCAAATCAGGAAAAACTTGGTCACATTCCTTACACTCCTGGATGCTGTGTATCTCTCGGAGGTCGTTTTCACTTTCAAGTTTTTGTTGAAAGTCCTCTTCCACCATTGAGAATGCTGAATGAGGTGTGCTACAGGGAAACTTTTGGTGATCTGCTAGTTCAGCTTTGGATTCAAAGATCTGGTCACAGTCCTCACAACGATATTGTCGTTCTTCTGTGAAAACAATTCAAGTGTTACGAGGAGTAGGCAGTCAGGTCAGAAAGGGCTACCATAAATAGCTGTCATATTATATTATATAAGATCTACTTTGAACTAAGTGATTGTAGTTTTCACCAGGTCAATTTTAACATGGATAAATAGTATATATAAAGAACCAGGAGAAAATTTGTAACTATAGCATAAGTAATTACTCTGGCTGCAGTACAACTAATCAGATGAAACTTCATGATTAAACTTTTCTAGGATCATAAGATATTAAAGATAATAAGTGTCACATATTATGCACAATCTGTTTAAGCCACTACATAGACAACTGATATTCCTTACAACTTGAGTACATAATTTATAAGTCTATTTTTTATCCCAATTCTTAGACAAGTTAAGTAAATAGGGAGAGAACCAATGGTTGGGTCATGATTTGAACTCATCTTTGCCCTCTAGACTACACTCTAGACCAATGCCATGTTACCTGGAAGGCACAGGGGGCACAGGCTCTTACTGAGTCATGACTAAGCCTGTCACTATCATTAAAATTGGCAATGCTTCAACATCCATTGTCACTTAGAATGCAACAAAAGATGTTTTCATTACCAATTTATGTTATGCCTGGACCAGTGCTAATTTACATTAAATAACAAAAAATCATTAATTTTCACTTTAAATCGATAAAGAAAAAAGCAGTAATAGAGTCTTGCTTCTGTTCTTTCCAGTTTGATAGCTGTGAACCTACTCTAGAGGCCACACCTTGCATACAGCTACAATTACAAACAGACCAGAATGCTGAAAAACTCCAGAACAAACAACATGATGCATACTGCCTGCTCTCTAGACCTATAGAGAATTTTTTGAGGAAATATTTAAGTCATCTACCAAATGTCGTGCATTTTGCTTGGTAATTGACACACACACACACACACACACACACACACACACACACACACGAGATACACATAGCAAAGAACTATGAATGAGGCTCTTCCTGACCAATGCATGAACGTGGCCTAAGGAAGCCCAGAGGAATATGCCTAATCCATCCAATCTGAGGGAGAGTAGTTCAGAAAAAGCAATGTAATAAGTAAGGATCAGCCAAGTGATGGATGAGGAGAGCTCCTCTCAGGCATGGGAATGGCATGAAGGAGTCATGAAAGAACATGGCACATTCATAGAAAGAAGAACCTGTGGTAACATGTGGCAGGTTTATAGAGTGCATGTAAGGAAAGAGTGGTGTACAGCATGGTTGGCAGGCTACAAGAGACTATTTAGGTCCATATGAGAAAGGTAACCGAAAAACATTGCAAGTTAAAGAACAGACACATATCAGACTGGGTTTTTAGAATCATTTTGGCCATTTCCAGTGTGAGAATCCCAGCAGAAGACCCAATGATACCTCTCTATGTAAACCACCTAAGATATTGGTTTGGCTTAAACTAAATCCATAAAAATGAGATTAAAAAGGTGAAGGAATCATACAGACTCAACAATTTGTCCACTTTGGATACATGGAATTAAGGAAAAGGGAATGATGATTCTAAAATAAGTCAGCTCAATCTAGAGGCAGTAATCTTATTGACATTAGCTCATTAAAGGAAACATTTCCATAGTTTACGACACTCTATTCATATATTTAAGATCTGTATTTAGATTTCAGACAAGATCCTGAACAGAAAATAAAATCCCCCAGACCACATAACAGACGACAAAAACTTCACTTTGAGTGCTGATTCCTTCACTTATTTCCAAGTGGTCTTACTAGTCAATTTACTTAGCCTTGATGAGCCTCAATTCCTCTATCTGTAAAATGGATATTATTCCTTTCCAGTGGGTTTTGGCTACATATAAAAAAATTAGACCAGACAATATTATGGAATATACACAATATCGCACCTATACCAAGTGGGCAACATATGTGCTTTCTTCTGTTGTTCCTCAGTTAAATCCTGACATCATAAATCAGAAAGCACCATTTAAACATTATAAGCCTCATATAGAAATATATAGTGTATATAGGAACGTGGATGTGATCCATTCAAAATAAGATGCAACAGATAATTCAAAAACATTTTAAAGGAAGATAATTTAGGAATAGCAGTCCTAAAAGGAATGACCACTTATATTTAGGCCTTTTTGGAAGAATAAATTAATCATTCACATTTCAAAAAATAACTGCCTATAAGCACTTTAGATCTACCATTCATGGATGTGTGAAACGTCAGAGAAAGCCCTGATCACTTTTGTCATGTGAGCAACGAATGTGTGTCCCCATTGGCTAGACTTTCCCACACCCCCAGTGCAAACTCTACCAGGCCAACTGGAAATTCTAGACTTCTAAAGCTATTTGAATGTCAGTTTCCAAGAAAAAATAAAATAACTGTAGGCACGCCCAAATACCACTGATACAGCTATGTATCAGTTGTATTATTATGTATTTATTATGTATTTCCTAAGTTAAATCCAAGAATCATAAAACACAAATCACACTTAAACATTGGTCCTTCCAATAACAAAATGTCACTATATTATCTAAAGTAGCCAATATATTTTGTTGAGCCAAGTCACACTAGGAGAGAGGAAGAGGAAAAAAAATATTAAATTTTCAGCTCATGATATAAATGAACACAAGTAGTTTTCCCCTAATCTTACCTAAACATATGTATTCATTATCATTTTTAATTGTACACTCTGATTTAGAATAGCGCTCTGGCAAACAAAACTTCTGCTGGCTCTAAAATTATTTCATCTATATTTTTCCCCTCTCCCCTTTCTATGGGGTCATGGAAAAAAGCTTGTGTTCTCTCTCTCTCTCTCTCTCTCTCTCTCTCTCTCTCTCTCTCTCTCTCTCTCTCTCTCTCCCACACACACACACACCCACTCTTCTCTGAATTTGTCAAAGCACTTAGCAAGCTATACACATGCAGAGCTAAATCTTGACTTTCATTATCTGGTAGAAGCCAGATAACCCAGCTAACCTCGAGCTACTCCTTTATCAAGTTAGCAAAAGTAACACCTTTTTAGCAAGATGTTCAGGAGAGTGAGTTTTCATCTCGTAGATGAGAATATCTACGAGATACAGGAAAATTCAAAGTCAAGCCTCCTGAAATGACTCACATGATGGAAGGGTTCTCATTATCTAAGGTATTGACAGAAGGCTTAAGGCCATGTCTCCACTCAAATACTCAAAATTCCCTTGGGCTGTACTTCAGGGAAGTACTCTCCTTACTTTAACTTCATCATAATACCAGCAAGAGAGCTAATCAAGAAAATAGCCATTCCAAGAGAATACGTTCGTTAAAACCAATATTGGATAGCCAGAGAAGCGAACACCCAAATGCGAAATGCGATGGACCTTTACCAACACTATATTGCAAATCTCCAAATAAGGGTGACAGACACTTGCTGGGGGTGGCACTAACCGTGGATGTCAGGCGCCATGGCTTCATGGGGATAGTCTTCACTCTTCATGAACAGCAGGAGTTCCTCTCCTGGTGCAATGTCTGTGATTACTCTATAGAATATCTTCAAAGACCAAAAAGGGCAGGGCAGGAAAGAGAGAAGTGAGTACTGGCAGAGGACAGAATATGCATTGAGATACCCAACATTCCATCTTAACAAACATATTCCTTCTAATGTTCATTACCAAAAAACTGTGACTTCTTTTTATGAAGCAAAAAGACCCCTCTGGTGACAAACAGGTGTGATTTTTCAAGCCAGTTCACAAATATTTTCCAAATATGACTTCACAAATCAAATTTTCTTAATTAGAGGTTTGTTGGGTTACATACATCCTGTCTATGCTTAATAAAGAACTTTCGAATCTCTGAATTTGTCAAAGCACCTAGCAAACCACGCACATGCCAAGCTAAATCTTGACCTTCATTATCTATTAGGAGCCAGATAACCCAGCTAACCTTGCGCTACTCCTTCAGCAAGTTAGCAAAAGTAACACCTTTTGAGCAAGATGTTCAGAAGTCAACAAGTGGGAAACTTAGGATACAAGAAATTTGCATGGTCTACACAGAACAGAATCAAAGGACATGTCCTCTTTTTTTAACCCTGAGTCTCTCTTTTGTTGACCCAGGACCTGCTTTCTTTCTCACTCCCCAAACCCTGACCATACTTCATGAAAGGCAGAAAACAGGTGTTAGGCCTTTTCTGATTCATTTTTTCAGGCTGCCAAGGGTGGTGCTTATTCTCCTTGCTTTCTAGCGAAGTGTTGAGGACAGGATGGATTTAATAGATCTGTTAAGGACTGATGAGAAAGCAGTGGAGCCAATGTGGAAAGATCTGATGAGAAATTCTGAGAGTTGCTTACCTTTCCCCAAGGAGCCTTACATAAGTCACTGACCAATGGTTACCACCAGGAACCAGAGATTTTAAAATGTATAACAGCATTTATGCAGGAAAATCTTCAAGATGGTCATGAATGTTACCATAAAAATATTCCTAGTTTTTCACTTTATTCTGAGATTCATTAAACAACAGTGTTCATCACCAGAGACTTTGGAAGAAAACAAGGAAGCTCCAGGACGAACCACATGAAAACGCTATTCATCACATTCTGCCACAATATCCCTGCAAAGCCCTCCCAAAAAAATTTCACCCCTATATTTTAAATATCTGGGTAAGATTTATACATGAACATACACAAAGACAAAACCCAAAAGAGAAGAAAAAAAAAAGTAGCACAAATTGGTAAACAGGAATCCATTGGTAATAGGAAACAGAAACATGATTTTACACGATACTGCCTTTAACTATTGTTTCTTGCAGGACTCACTTGGTATTTTTAAATTGAGAAAAGTTGGCAAACCAACGTCTTATCAGATCAAGAGAAACGTCCACATTTTAAGTGTATTTGCATATTTGTTTATCTTTTGACAAGCTGAGATGAAACATAAGCATGTGCCTCTTTATTCCAGTAGGTGGCTCTAACGTCCAATTGTTTATTTTTTTATAAAAAGACCATAGCACAAATTGCACTACATTTGAAAAATACCTCAATGAGGAGTATTTTCTGCTTAGTTTCTTTCTTATCAAAATACATTTTTTATTCAACAGTATTTTAACCACTTGAGGTTTCTTTCTAGGAAATAATGGCAACTAGAAGGTGGGGCTGCACAATTTTCTCATGTAATTTAAGTCTTTCTCTGTCAAAAGACAGAATTCCTACTATGGAAACTTACTCCTTGAATGAACTGATTTTATGAAAAACGGTAAATCTGTAGTTTGTATCTAATGCCTGACCTTCACATTTGTTTTTGGAGGTACCCTGAGAGAAATGGTTCCCCTCAAAAACTTACCAGATTACAAAATGAATAATGAGTGAATTTACTTTTTTTCCCCCAACACTTCCAGTTAAATACTTGAAGCACTCTGCTTTACCCTAAAGTTCTATTTCCCCTTACAAAACAATGGACTTCTCTCAACAGTTTGAATCACTTCTTTTTCTGGCATCTCTCACAGGTTTAACTTATTAGTTTCCTTTCCAACAACATGTTGACATTTGAATTGTGACATATTAAAACTTTTTGGTGGCTTCTCGGAAATAGTGAGGTTAAAGAGACAATGCCGTGCAAGACAGTAAAATAGTCCAATTGTCTCTGTTGGGGAAGGCTACATAGACACACATGCCAGGTCATTTTAAAAGAGTCTTATGATATCATTATTTCTCCGCAGTCCACTATTAATCATGTCTCTTTTAATTCCTTTTTAGATTTACTCAAACCAATGTGAATAGTCCAAGGAACAAAAGAAAATGACAGCTACAGTGTAACTATATATTATAAAGACAATTCTCCTCGCAAGGACATAGATCATCACTGTAATTTCCCTTTAAGTGTCCCGATTGTCATGTGAAGAATATTGAGTGCATAAAAAATAAAAGGCATGGAAGAGTGTTGATGTTGGCTTTATTTACAGGAGGTAAAAGGTGACATTCCAGACCATGAAAGGCAAGGCAAAGCAGAGTGGATTTTAACTTCAGGGTGTTCTTTTCGATTTTAAGTGAATTTTTATGGTGCTCATGAAACTGAGGTTTGAAAAGAACTGGCAAGCTCCAGACATAATGAGGGCAAAATCTGGGCTTGCTTCCTCATCTAGCAGTAAGAATGGGCCTCGAAGTTCCACCTACCACGCCCCTACCACGCTAGGCCTTTTCCCAAGGTGTTTTACCTCTGACAGTCTACACTATCTTTCGACGCTTAGGATGTCAGAGACACGTAAGATTATGTTTGCTCCTCTAGATATAATATCTCAAAGGCAAAATTTGAACAGTTAAATACAAAGATGCCTACAGGTAAATTAATTTGCTTTCTAACAACAACAACAAGCTAACAAGCATTTGAGAAATGAGAAGTGTAGTTTCTGACAAAACAAAATGCGAATTGGTTGTCGTAAAACAATCTTGGAGGACTCAGGCCTTTCTATTCTTTTATGCTATAAAACAGATCATTCAGCAAATAAAAATGCAACAAAGCTCAGAAGTGGTTTATATAGATTTTGCACAGAATTTAAATGTCTTTAAAATTAGTGCATCTTCAAAATCTTTGAAATCACTGCATTTTCATAAACACTTTTCTCACTGGAAAAGTTTTGTGGTCCCGTGGATTATGTCACCTGAGTTATGTACCACAAGGGAGACACAGATGCAACTGCTTCGATTTTCGTGTTGGAGAAAAATAAAAGGAATCAATTCTTTTGTAAAAATTCATTAAAGAGTTATCAGCTCTTTCTTTCCATCTGCTTTTAGCAAAAAAAAAAAAATTATAATTCCAAAATTAACATGTTCTGCATCTGAAATACGTAATAAACTCAAGTATATAAGCAAAGCCCAAAAACTTTACTTAAATTTGATACAAAATAATTGTTGATTAATTATTCTTCTGTCTCAGAATGCTCAGTTAGAAGGAAATATTCAATTATTTGCAATATAATGTGATAAAATGGAGGAATAGAATCTTTAATATAAGAAAGCTCTATTTAAAAAAAAAACTCATGATGAATATTTTAAAATTGTGTTAATTCCTCCAGGATTTTGTACTTGGTAGGTTGGTAGGTAATACTAAAATCCACACACAAAGCACGATCTGTATATCATCTAACTCTCCATATAATTAAAACTTTTGAAAATTGAGATAGGTTTTTAATTTTATCGCATAAAAATTAATTTTGTTGTATCTTGCTGGACTCTTATTTTTCCAGAATACTATATTTCTCTGTAAGCATGGACATTATATGTGGTTCTCTGGACAATTCAATTTCTAAAGATAAGTATTTATAGAAATGTTTTAACAACATGTTTCTTCACATTCTTCTATTTTCAAAATTTATTAGAACTAATAAAATTTCTGAATGTTTATTTTAATCACTAAATCATTAAAGCATTTGAAAATAATACTAAAAATCCCAAGGTTGTTTACTTTCGCTATTGGAAAAATTCACAACTTAAGGGATAAATCTATTATACAACTAGATAGGAGTTAAATGCTCTGAACATTATTACTACACTAAATCTATCTTAAACTCTGTAACCAACTCCAAATGTGAAGAGAATATCCATTCAGTTAACACAAAGCAGAATTAAGGAGAAAAGGCACTGGTGATTTGACTTAGCAAGTTTTAGACTTTAAGGAATACATTTCAAATAATGATATATACATGATCATTTATATTATATATTTTATGTGTGAAATATAAAGGTGATGATGTATATATTTTGAAATTTTAAAATTTATATAAAATATTATTTTCATATTCTATGTAATTATGTGTGCTATAAGTACTTAATGTATGATTCATTTTAATTATAAATAATTAAGTAACACTTGTACATGTTACATGAATCTCAAAATATAAGTGGAATTGGAATCAATTGATATTACATGTCATTAAATATTCTCTTTTTAGCATTTAAGGTAAAAGGATAGCACTAAAAAGAGTTTGGACACTACTAAGTATTCTGACAGGAAATTAATATATGTTCAAGCTAATTCAGTTTGACATTATCAAGACTTGTATTCATCCAGACCCTCCATCAGCTTCATGATGTTGCCATTTGCATTTATACATGGTAATAATGCACGATCAAATACAAATCCAGAATCTGTCAAAACAGTCTTAAAGACCGGTTTGCTCTGCTTGGATCAATTTTAATATTTATGTTTTAACTATTGAAATAGAAGGAAAATTAAGTATATACAGGGAAAACAAGAAAGAAAACACATCATTTACTTTTTAAAAGATGCACAAGGCTTCATTGTTATGAATACCAATTTATTTTTCCTGCTTAAGCCCTGGAAGTTTTATTTATATCTAATAGACTGTATTTGGCATGTCTAAAAATGACAGAAGTGTGAATTATGAATGACCTTCAACCTATTCAGGAAATTGTAATAATTGAAATAATAGAGAAATATACTCCCTCAAAAAAAAAGTCTTCACTGAGAGACAACTTTTTCAGACTACTGTAGTCTTTTCTCTTTGAAGTTGACAGTTCATTTCTTCTTCCTACAGCTTTC